AGAGAGAGAGAGAGAGAGAGAGAGAGAGAGAGAGAGAGAGAGAGAGAGAGATTTCTTGGAAAAAAAACCCAACAAAACAACCTGCATCGGACAAAATCGTGAAATGAATTTTCTTTCTATTGATTTTCGGACGTGTTGAAATTTCATAGAGAGGCTTGTAAATCCACGTCAGGATGTGCAAGACAAAAATGGATAATTGAAGATTTTCACACCCCCGCCGAGAGAATTCATTCTGAATATTATACAGAAGGCTGCTGCTCCTCCTTTGTCCACAGCAAGTCTTAAGATCAAGCTTCCCAGCATTGCAAACGCACCCCCTATAACTCTGTTCCTAAATAACAATAATAGATAGAATTTGTATAGCGCAAATCCAAGCTCAACATCAAGCTCTATGAGCTTCATAATCTATATTATTACTCCAGCAGACCTGAGAGTATTCTGAAACAAACTCAACTTCCTGGGAAGCATACAGTGCAAGAAGCCATTTATAGGCGCTAAAACACTAACATACTGACAAGGTAACTCATAGTTAACCCATTTACGTAAAATAATCACCAAATTGAGTATTACAGAATGGAATAAGCAATAGATATAAAGTGTCATTCTCGTAGATGGACATAATTATTTGAGTTTGATAGATTTTTGTTTGGACAGTAAGCGACTGAAGGATTCTGTGTGCCAGCTGAACTAAAAGTGTAGGTGGTTGGCGGGTGCTCCTAATCATCAAACATTTGTATTCTATCCTAATCCTCCCCATCCATTTATTAGTATGTTTCTCTGTAATCTTCAGCAGTTAAAACAAAAATAGGTCATATAAGTGCCGAAGACTAGAGGTTGACTAAGGCGTAGCAAGCACACGAAAAAAGAAGAGAAAAGGGCGATAAACATTTGATTGGAGAAATGGTAGCAAACCACACCAGAGTGCTCGCAAATCACACACTGCCTGTCGTCAATTATAATATCATAACATGAGAAAAACCAGTCTATTGTATTACCAATACCCATATCGCACTAGTTATATTTGCCCCTCTCTCAATTAGTCTGGTGGCGAAACCTACACAGAATGATTTTTAAAAAGAAGATTTTTCACCCGTATCAGAAAACGCTAGGTGTAGATCTTTCCTACTACAAGATCACGGGTGTGGCTGAAAGACAGCAGTAAGAAGTAGCCAAGGAGAAGCAGAAGTAAGGCTGCAGAAAGAGTCAGGAGCCCATGGGAGGGGGCAAAGGAGGTGAGGGGGTGGGGACAGAAAGTGGAGACGAAAGAACATTGCTAGAAGGCAGGAAAGGAGCTGCAAGGAGACAATTTTCAGACAAGAAACATTTCCGTCGCTACCTGGATTCGAACTCAGGACTTTATTGAATGAGATGCGAACTGCTTAACCTCTAGGCCATAATGAGAGCCCCCAGTAGCTATCTGGATTCGAACCCTGGATCTATAGAATGAGAAGCGAACACCTTAACCTCCAGCCTACGAGAGCCACCAAGACTCACTTTGAAAGAGAACACTCCTCCCTTCTCCTTGTCAGGTTTCTTGATCATAATGGAGGTGCCGAGGTCCATGAAAGGCTTAGAGAAATCTACCACTCGCTCTCGGACTTCGGTGATGGTGAGTGAGGCGATAGCGATGTCAGCCTCCTGTTTCAGGGAGGGGTGAAGGGAGGGAGGGATAGAGAGAGAGAGAGAGAGAGAGAGACAGAGAGAGAGAGAGAGAGAGAGAGAGAGAGAGTGAGAGAGAGAGAGAAAGAGAGAGAGGGAGAGAGAGTGAGAAAGAGAGAGAGAAAGAGAGAGAGGGAGAGAGAAAGAGAGAGAGGGAGAGAGAAAGGGAGAGATAGAGTGAGGACGGGGGTATGA